GCCATGACGTGGCATAATTACCTTGTTCCTTGGGGAGTAGTGAGTTTGGGGTAGTAGCAGCTGTAGCAACCCTCCTAAACGGATCAGCCAAGCTGCACGTTCTTTTGGGCTGTAGCCTAGGGATCAACTAAAGCCTAAAACAATCCTTTCAGAAAGTGAACTGTCCAAAGGAGCTGAGGAAAAGTTCCCAAGCTTCTATTAACCCCCGTCTTCCCTACTGGAGCCAAATATCAATTCTGGTCAGCCCACGTCTAACTCCATATGTGAGGAGGTGGGCGTATCACATGCTGCATCGCAGCATCAAAATGAGGATCGTCCTCAAATCCAGAGCGAAACTGAAAGCAATTTGGCGTGGAAGGGTTCCTTTCTAAATGCAAACGGAACTCCAACGGAGCTGCCCAAAGAGTTCCTTGCTGCCTGTACCCTCGCAAGGTATCTTTTGCACCGCACATGGTCTTCCAAACGTTATTCAGTGAGGTGGTGAGATTTCACATCGGGCCCGGGTGTTCCAGCGCACCCTGTTGTCAACCAAAGGGAGTAAACATATATGTTCGCAAACCACACGCATGGTTAAACACGCGTTTTTATATCGCTATCACTTCGTGGAATGAGGCATTTCATGGGAAAGTGGATGCTTGCAACTCGGAGATCCTCAAGATCGGCTCCCGAGTTCCGGAACGCTGAGACGCCTGGCTTCGGGTTGTTTTCAGGATTGTTTGGGGAGGGCCTAGGGTTGGCTTTGGGGTGGTTTAGGGGCTTCATGGCTCGTTGAGTGTTGGGTGTCAGGTGGCTTCGGGTTGGTTTAGGCTTCGTCTTTTTTCAAGGGAATACTGTTTTTTCTTTCTTTTTTTCTTTCGGGGTGTTTGTGAGGGGAAGCCAAAGGGAAAACGAAGCCGGGGTTTTCTCGATTTGAAAATTTCAGGTCTGCTCAACACCCTGAGGCAGAAATCACTCCAACTGCAAGGTATCAGATTTGGGTTGGGATTATAGGCTTGTAGGTTCAAAAATCAAAGGGTGGGGGGGGCATGATTGGCCTCCTCTTGGCTTCCCTTCAAAGACCAAAAAGGGTTTCCGCGCAAAAAGCCTGCGCCCCTTCGCCCTGAAATGGCCCTTGCCTTGACGGAGAGGCCCCCGTTGAACACCGGCACGAAGTCCGTGTCCGAGGTCTGAAAGCGAGACCAGATCGAGCCAAGCTGGCGCAAACCCATCCATCAGATCCCACTTCAGTGACCCAATAGATAGAAACATGAAAGCCACCAAACCTGAGAAGAAGGTTGGGGCGGCTTTGTGCAGCGACTGAAACCAGTACCCCGCAGGAAGCTTGTAAGTCTCCAGCCCATGGGGTCAACCGCGTGTCAACCTGTTGCCCAGCTCTTCACACCTGTGATCATTTGCTGATTGGCATGTGTCAAGCCTTCATTGTCAGGGCGTTTGTGCATCCCCCGGTCACGTGGGATGGCAGCTAGGGAGCAAACAGGGTAAACAAGAACGGGGTATGTGCTTCCACTCTTAGACAGCCTGTCGGATCATTTCGGTCTCACACGGGCAATGATCCAAGGGGTCAAAAAAGCGCCCGGCTGGATCGGTCCAGAAGCAAGCATTGATCGCGGCGACTCGGCTCCACATCGCGCTGCTGAAGCCGCTTATAGCTCGATTTTTGGGGTTCCCCCGTGTAAGACCCGGGCACCGCTCAAGAAAGACACAACAAGGCTGAAGAGTTCTGAAGTTTGGCTTTGAACACATCAGCGATTCATCGAGTCTGCTGAGGCGCAGGCCAAGTCTATCCATACCCACCCTCCAAAGGAGCCATCCGAAGTGGGCGCCTGTCAGTCAACTCGATCGAGAGATCGACTTGTGTTGAAACAAGATCAAAGGGCACTTGGAAGGAGAATATGGAAGACCACGCAGAAGTTGAAAAAACGAGCTTAAAACGGCTCAACAATTCAGGGTTTCCTACAATTACAAGGATTCTCATGGCCTACAAACCAAGCAGAGCCCAAAACCCAAGGCTTCAGAGGTGCAAGGCAAACGGGGCTGAACAAAGGAGCTGAACTAGTGGACATAACCCCCCCCCGCAAACTATGTTCGCCTAACAAGTCCATGTCCACTGGAAAATTAATATCCAGATCTTAGTTAGCCTGAAGTCGTTCACTTCTGCTGGTCAAAAGGGACAATTCAGAATTCAGGAACCCCTAAAGGACGAAAGCGCGCAAGCTCAAGCAAAAGACAACGTCAGCTTCGGATTGGTCCGGAGGACCATACTTCTCAGAGCAGTTCCCTTGAGCGATTTCCCGAAACGGGGGCCACCGACTCGTATCAACGGGGGTCAGACCTAGCGAGATCGCCTTAAACCTGAGGTGGTAGCGCCCCGGCACCGGGAAGCTGGACCTGACCTCGGGCCGAGGTCACGGACCTGTCGGGGTCCTTCTGTAGGTCCTATCAGGGTGCGCAGAATCTGAAACGAGTTCCCCTTTCAGGGCTCCCCCCAAATTCGCGTTGACCCGCTGCAAACAAACCTGCCCCCTAAGGTTGTAACCATGGCCAAGGTGATACTCACCGCACCACCTGGCAATGGATGGCATGTTCAAGGGAAAGACCGAGGAGCAAACCTTGGGGTGAGAGGTTCCGCAAGCACACACTCAGTCCAAAAACTGGCTCAAAGGTGTCTACAGCAATCGGTATTCATAGAACATATTGACAGGATTCTACAGGAAGTTAGCCAAATGCCCAGGACCCAGCAAAATCCGGGGTTGACTTGCCGTACGTTTCTTGTGGCAGGTTAGCGCCAACTTTTTGGGGTTCCTTCTGTCTTGAGTAGCGCGGTTTCGGAGCGCTTTCAAGCCATGGCGGGCAGGCTGAGGGGCATGGAGTACAGGGTCAGCTCAGTGTCTTTGTCCTCTGCGTTCTGGACCTTCCGGTGTGGGGCTCTTAACCACGAAAGGAGTTTTTGACAACAAACATGGGCTCCACAATGATTCATGGTAGCAACTCCAAAGTTGTCCACCTGGTAACAGTAGTCGGGCCCGTTTTTTCGGTGATTCCAAGAGAAACCAAGGAAGCAGGGGTTCGATTTCGAGCCTCGTACCGCACCAGGATGCTGTCGTCTGGACAGCCCAACGCCTGGGAGACCTGCAGCAATTCGGCCAAAACTTTGAGGTTGGCTTGAAGTTGTGTTTGCTGGGCGTGCGGGTTGTCCGCTGCCTGGCAACCATCCATTTGCCAAGGATCTGCTCGCTTTGTGGTAACTTTGTCCGTTTGCAACCAATGCCCCATTGAAGTTGATAAAGACACTTCAAACCCAAAAGACGAGCGACTCCAATAGTTGATCCGCTCTCGTTGGACACTTGGCAGGCTTTTGCATCGGATGTTGCCGGATGTTGCGAGGTCTTGGGCGCGAGCCCCGGAGGCAGCACTAGCACCACCTCCACAAGAACAGCTGCCAAGCAGCTGCGTAAACCACAAACCGGAGTCAAAGAATGTCAAAGACTTCAGTGGGCGGCCGATGGTCTTAAAATGCCCGGGAGCAGTGCCCACCGACCTGAGTCATGTGACTCATCATGCGACCTGTCATTAAGTGCATTGGAAAATCGCGTTCCCGCACAGTGTACAACAGTAAGCATGAGGGAAAATCATGCCTTCTCAGCCTTGGCCGGCTTCGGGATGGGGATCATGCCACCGGCCACGGCCGCCATGATGGCGGCTGGGATCAGGGCCGCCTGCATGCCGTAGGGGCCGTGGGTCTCCTTGGCCGCAACGCCTCCAAGGCAGAAGAAGAAGATGCCAGCAGCAAAGAGCAGCACCTTCAGCAGAGTCGGAGGCGCCTCACCCCTCGCCATGGCACGTGCCCACAGTCCCAGGCCGGTGCCCACATCCGTGAGGTAGCCCGTGAAGTGCGTGGTGCAGATGGGAATCGAGGTGCACCTTCGGGTGACGCCGTTCTGGATGCCCTGCGAGAAAGCGAAGAGCAGCAGGCTCTCCGAAGCCGCGTCGTTGATCCCGCTCTGAGCCTTGCAGTGGTGCAGCATGCACCCGAAGACCACGGCCAGAGTGCTGCCCAACATGTTGGGGGAGAAGCGGCCTTGGTACACGGCCTCCACGTCGCTCTTGCTGTAGCCCGCAAAGAAGGAGCCCGCACAGAAGGCGCACATGAGGTGGAAGAACTTGGCGCCACCGTTGAAGATCAGGCGTCCGGTGTGGCTGGTGTTGCCGCTCTGGTGGGACACGGTCATGCCCATGTCAATGATGCACAGCGCGTTGATGAAGCCTGAGGTGAAGCACAAGATGTTCTGCATCATCAGGAAGGTGCCGTAGTCCGCTCGCTTCTCCGCCGGGCCTGGGGTCGGAGTTTGCGAGTCTTCCAGCAGCGTCACTGCCCCAGACACCGCCATCAGCACGAAAGACACCAGCAGCGCATGGTCCGCGATGAAAGCAGTGAAGCCGGATGCCTCTGCCCGAGGCGCCTCAGTCTTGGTGAAGGCCCACGACTGCAAGTTCAGAACGCAAAGCCCCAGTGCCAGCAGCAAGAGCCCGCGCGCACTCTTGGAGCGAGCATTGAATGCCATCGCGCAAGATGTCTCAGAGTGCAAGGGACGGGGCGACGAGGGGCTATCAGAAGGCTAAAACAGCCATCCAAGGCAAGAGTCATTCAAGCCGGTAAAACATGGTGTCAGCTGACCTCGCTGTGCCTTGGGCGTTCGATCCACATGCATTGGCTGCTTGCAGGCTTTTGCATCGGATGTTGCCGGATGTTGCGAGGTCTTGGGCGCGAGCCCCGGAGGCAGCACTAGCACCACCTCCACAAGAACAGCTGCCAAGCAGCTGCGTAAACCACAAACCGGAGTCAAAGAATGTCAAAGACTTCAGTGGGCGGCCGATGGTCTTAAAATGCCCGGGAGCAGTGCCCACCGACCTGAGTCATGTGACTCATCATGCGACCTGTCATTAAGTGCATTGGAAAATCGCGTTCCCGCACAGTGTACAACAGTAAGCATGAGGGAAAATCATGCCTTCTCAGCCTTGGCCGGCTTCGGGATGGGGATCATGCCACCGGCCACGGCCGCCATGATGGCGGCTGGGATCAGGGCCGCCTGCATGCCGTAGGGGCCGTGGGTCTCCTTGGCCGCAACGCCTCCAAGGCAGAAGAAGAAGATGCCAGCAGCAAAGAGCAGCACCTTCAGCAGAGTCGGAGGCGCCTCACCCCTCGCCATGGCACGTGCCCACAGTCCCAGGCCGGTGCCCACATCCGTGAGGTAGCCCGTGAAGTGCGTGGTGCAGATGGGAATCGAGGTGCACCTTCGGGTGACGCCGTTCTGGATGCCCTGCGAGAAAGCGAAGAGCAGCAGGCTCTCCGAAGCCGCGTCGTTGATCCCGCTCTGAGCCTTGCAGTGGTGCAGCATGCACCCGAAGACCACGGCCAGAGTGCTGCCCAACATGTTGGGGGAGAAGCGGCCTTGGTACACGGCCTCCACGTCGCTCTTGCTGTAGCCCGCAAAGAAGGAGCCCGCACAGAAGGCGCACATGAGGTGGAAGAACTTGGCGCCACCGTTGAAGATCAGGCGTCCGGTGTGGCTGGTGTTGCCGCTCTGGTGGGACACGGTCATGCCCATGTCAATGATGCACAGCGCGTTGATGAAGCCTGAGGTGAAGCACAAGATGTTCTGCATCATCAGGAAGGTGCCGTAGTCCGCTCGCTTCTCCGCCGGGCCTGGGGTCGGAGTTTGCGAGTCTTCCAGCAGCGTCACTGCCCCAGACACCGCCATCAGCACGAAAGACACCAGCAGCGCATGGTCCGCGATGAAAGCAGTGAAGCCGGATGCCTCTGCCCGAGGCGCCTCAGTCTTGGTGAAGGCCCACGACTGCAAGTTCAGAACGCAAAGCCCCAGTGCCAGCAGCAAGAGCCCGCGCGCACTCTTGGAGCGAGCATTGAATGCCATCGCGCAAGATGTCTCAGAGTGCAAGGGACGGGGCGACGAGAAGGCTGAATCAGGCCATCCAAGGCAACAAGCGTATGCGGCCAGTGCTCTCCCTGTGCTTCAGGCCTGCGCATCGTAGGGGATCTCCACACTGGGCTCCTGGCCATGCCGGAGATGTCAGATTTCAAGGACGCAGGATAATCTTCATGGGTGTTTGTATAACTATTACTTCACTGGGCATTTCATGCCAGAAGCTTGTGCTGAGTGTGTCCCAAAGATGGGGACACCCTTTTGCGTTGATTTGTTGATTTTGCCTGAAGGGGGACACTCAAGGTGAAGCAGCCCTTGGGACCTCATTGGGAGGTCTATAATCGGGTCCATAGAAAAGCCCAGATGTGCTCTGGTCAAACCTCTTTGTGTGGGTAATGGCCATGGCCCCCGTAAGAGCAACGCTGCAATGCTTGTCTGATTTCCCTACTGAGAGGCTTATGTAACAGGTTTTTGACCATGGCAGACATGTTGCTTCCCACTCAGCACAGGGCTTGCGGCACTTTTGCATGAACCCTTTCCAGTGTGGAACAGTCTAAACACCTGCCTTTAAAGCAAAGCCTCGAATCTCCGATCCCTTTGACTCGGTCCCAGGATGTCCCAGGCTGGATTTACCTCCATTTACCTCCAAAAATCGAAGGATCCCCATAACAGCGTGAGTGCTCTTGTGTGCGGGGGTCTCTTTATCTGCCCCGACAGGAAAATGGTCAGACTGTGAGTTGCTCCTACTGGCACAGAGCCCTGGGCAAACTCGGTTGCTTGCCATCCCCGGGCTGCTTCGGTTTCGTGTGGCACTGAGAAAGGGAGGGGGTCCCAAAAACAGTGCTATCTGCTGCTATCTTTGTTAGCGTCGCTTTGAAGAGAAGCCAAAGCGCGACCCAAGCCCACTTTGGAGGCTCCGCATTCCATTCGGATGCGTTCTTTTGAGGGCCAAGGAAAACCAGTTGGAAGAACGCACCTTCGGACCATTTGCGATTGCCCAACCCTAGAAATGAGTGCAACACCCAGAACTGAACACTCGTCGCGCGGAAGACGTGTCCTGAATGTCAGGCGATCTTGATCCGCCCTCCTGGCCGGCAGTTCAACACCCCTACGGAGGTCCCCTACGGACCAACCATGGATTGTTCCAAAACCCCACAGTTGCACCAGTAACTCTACAAGAACGGACACTCTTTTCGGGCTTGACTCTTTTCGAAAGGAACGTCCCATCCTGGGTGAGGTCGCAAACCAAAACCTTTCTCAGGTCGCAATACTCTGCACCGAATCATTTAATCTGTTTTTACCCGCTTGGAGAGCTTGCGCAAAATCATTTGGAAACAGTAAGCTCCAGGCAATCAACGGCCCTACCCGCAGGTGGTACCCAAACTTTGCGAAAAGCGTCCCATCCTTGCCCTTGTCAAGGCCATCTAGCAGCTGGGTGGTCCGCTTCTTCAAAGTGTCTAAGCCTGGCCGCAAGCGAATGGCTGTGCCAGAGGTAAACGAGGAACAATGAGCATTCTGAGAATGGGCACGTCTGAAATTTCAAACGGTGAGGAGTAACCAGCCCTGATCCGACATCAGCCTTAGGAACTTTAGAATGATATCTCTGTAAATGGTGAGAAGGCGAGACCATGGGGTCCCTGGAGCTGAAGTCAAAACCATTTCCGAAAACCGGAAATCCTGAATCCACTTCCAGGGATGGTGCTCTTCGTGGGGTTCGTGAAACCTCGGTACGCTTTAGTGGCTCACGATCACCAATCGCTGCAGCTGTCATACCGGGCACTTCCGAGGCAAATGGCGCCATCGACGATGATCAGTTGTGGCATGTTTCCGAAGGGCTCTCGAAACTAGAAACTCCGCTTAACTTGCCGAACAAGCTCCCCAAAAGTCCAACCTGCAAACATTACCCAGACAACAGCGGACTTCCTTTAAAAGAACCCAAAAAGTACTGGCTTCCCTTTCAGTCACGAACAACTAGCCTTGAACGCTGCTTAGCTGGGAAAACAGGCAGGGATTGAACTCCCTTGATGCCCGGTCCCACATCAGCCCTCAAAGGCCCAAGCGCTTCCCCAATGCTTGCCTGCCCCAATAAGTCCCTGCTTCTTTGTCGCTCTGAATCAGGGGCGGGCCATAAAAGCCCAAAAATCGAAAGGGTTGGCGCGCTGCCACCTCTCAGTGCAGGGCTGTCCTTTGGCACCTTGTGAAAGAACGGCATACCGTAAAAAGGATTAACACAACTTTTTGGGGGAAGGGGACCCATGTTGCTTCGCATGGGGTTTTCAGTGAGGCCGGGACCCGGCGGATGCAGCCAAGCACCGGTCGAGTTGTGAGCTAGGGCGGCGGCTGGCAGCGAAGAGCGACATTGGCAGAAACGAACTTTGATGCGAACAACTGACAATGTATGACTAAATCAAAGCTTTTTGGCTTCACCCGTGTAATGTTAGTCAGCCTGCTTGTTATTTTCTATTGTTTGTTTCATGTTTGTCACCGGGAAGTACAAATTGCATCGTGATCTTAGTACCCGGGTGTGTTATTACTGGCTCAGTACCCAGCTTTGCTTGCACACAGAACCGCCGTGCCGATCGTCTAATCGTGTTGGCTTGGAATGGCCTTCAAGGAGGCCACGCTTAAGATCCCACAAGTCACAGGCACTCGATGTGCCAGTTGCGCATGACGCACGGATAGCAATATGGCCGTCAAATAAAGCAGAGCACCCTCATTTTTTAGCACCAGCTGCCAAGCAGCTACGTACAGCACAAACCGGAGTCATGTGACTCAGCGCCGCTGGGCGCTAATGCAACCTATGGACATGAGGTCCTCACTGCTTCTCCTGCAGTAACATCACCGCTGCTCAGGGTGGCTGACTAAACGTGCGTGCGTGCGATGCGTGCGATGCGTGCTTGTGCGTGCGTTTGTGCGTCCGTGCGTCCGTAAGTCCGTGCGTGCATGCGTTCGTGGGTGTGTCTTTGTGTCTTTGTGTCTTTGTGCCTTTGCATCTGTCTGCGCTTGCTTCTTTGTCTGTCTCTGTCTGTCTGTCTGTCTGTCTGTCTGTCTGTCTGTCTGTCTGGCTGTCTGTCTCTGCCTGTCTGTCTGTCTGCCTGTCTCTGCCTGCCTGCCTGCCTGCCTGCCTGCCTGCCTGCCTGCCTGCCTGCCTGCCTGCCTGCCTGCCTGCCTGCCTGCCTGTCTGTGCGCATTGCCCTAACGATGTTTCCCCATTTGTCTGTTTTGAAGCTGTCCATTTCGGGGTCCGCTGTTTGGAGAAGCCTCTTTGCACGTCAAAATATGGACTTTGCGCCGGCTCATCGGCTTAAAGGGAATGCAAGAAGCCGTCCTTTTTGGGGGTGCTACAAAATAAGGATTTGGAGCTTCCCGACCTTCCTAGAACGGTTGCCGCGAACTCCAAAAACACGCCAGCCCAGAATGCTCGCAGAGCACGAGCTCATTGAGCCTGGCGAAGTTCAAGTCCTAGGCCTCCATCCGGCGTTGACCAAAGAGGGACTGGACCCCCCCAACAAACATCTCCAAAGGAACCCCAAAAAGGCCCCGCATCCCACCCTAGTCGCTCAGATCGCCCTTAGTGGAATTGGGGGGAGGCGTTTGTTCATAGGTCGAAAAAGTGGGTGGACAGGAATCCCAAGTAAGCGACTCATCCTATTCCCAGAAGGAAAACTTGACGGGTATCTCGAGTTGAGGGCGACGTGTCAAGCTGTTGAAAGAACGGTGCAGGCTCTGTACTCCTACAATTTATGCTTTTCTGCTGCCCCTCGTGCCCCAGCCTTACATGTTTTGCCGGAGAGGTAGTAGCCACTGTTGCAGGCAGTGCAGTGGTTCGTCGCCTCGAGATCATCAGCTTCGGCGTCCCCTCAAAAAATTCGTTCATGAAGCCTCTGAAGAATGCTCTCGTTCCCAGATACTTTGCTCCTGCGCTCAACGGAAACTAGAAAGGGGCCCTAAACTTGAACCATGAGCCTCCAAACATCTCAATCTACAAATATGCAGGCATCTACGTGTGGCACTCGCAGCATGCGGACGCCAAATTGGGGGAGAGAAAATGTCGGAATCTGCAGGGAAATGACGACACAAGTTGGGAGAAAGGGGAAGAAGAAAAAAAACGCGCCTCACGATCCTCCTTGTTCTTGCAGGTCTTGCAGCGGCTGCCGGAGCCAGTGCTGCAGCTGTACGGGGTCTGAGCAAACGCCAGGGGAGGCAAAATTCAAAGGCCTTTGATCAGCCTGTCTCAGTTCAGGATTGAGTCAAGAGTGGATCCCTAAACGAAAACGATTCTCACGGTGGACTCCTTGTACTGTACCAAAACCTAGGGTCACTGAGATCTCTGCCGCTGCCACTGAGATCACTGCCGCTGAGGAAGCACTTGCATATCCACACATTTGTCAACAATCGTGAGCTAGGCCGGGCCGCTTGCACAACCCCATTACAAAAAAAATGGAACCACTTGTCAGAACATTGATACGTCGGGCACCAGAATCGCCATTCCTGTGTCGTCCGGCTGCGCACTGAGCTTAAGCCTTGTCTAGTTCCTCACCAACTCTGCACTACTACATCGAATCTAAACCGACTACTGGCCCGAACAACTGAAACACACACAATGCTTGCCCTGCTTCTGCCAAGGGGCCCAGCAAAGCGCATAGACCTGCCAATCCACCGGAGTCTCCCGCCGGATGCCACATTTAAAATACAAGTACGCTTCGCACGATCCAGACTCACTTTGCCTGACAGCGCACTTTGTACATGATCAACCGCTGTGGTGACCGCCATTCAGACAGTTTGGATCTGGATGCACAGAGCTTTGGCAAACCTGAAAGCATACGCTTGGCTAGTTGACCTTTCATCCCTTGGTGAGGGAGGGAGGGAGGGAGGGAGTGAGGGCAGTCGATGGCTGGCTGAGTGGGTGGGTGGGTGGGTGAGTCAGTCAGTCGATGGCTGGCTGGGTGGCTCTGGTTGCATCATTGTTTATGAACACTCACTCACTCACT